CATGAAAGAAGGTGGGCCAATAGATGACAGGCAAGCAGCTGACGGTGTCAGCCCCAGTGCCTACTGTGTATGAAACAGTGCTTCATTAGTTGCCACAAGGAATCAAAGAACATAAGTGATGGGCTGTTTGTCTCTCTCAGACTTTACAGAAATTATGTATTGCAACAAATGCCTTTCTAAAAAATGTATTTGGGGGCTGGCGAGATGGCTCAGTGGTCTAAAGCACCTACTTAGAACAAGCTTAGCAAAGCACAGGGACCGTGGTTCAATCCCCCAGCACCACATGCCAGCCAGCCCCGCCCCCTGGTGGGCTGAGCTGGCCACACACACACACACACACACACACACACACAAATAAATTTTAAAAAAAAGAAAAACAACTTTAAAAAATATATATTTGGTACAGGATCTCACTAGGCAGTTAGGACTCATAGTGATCCTCCTGTTTTTAGCCTCTCTAGATCTAGGATTACAGGTGTGAGCCACCACACCTGGTCTCGGTGGCTGATACAGTGTACCCAGGGGCAGGGCCAGTGCCGCTTGTGGTGCTGGGCATGGAACCCCAATCTCTGCACTAGCCTAAGCAGGCACTCAGTCTGCTGAGCTATCTCACTGGCCCCCCAAATTGTCTTTTAAGGACTGTATTGCAGAAAAGTGGACTATTTCTCATTGACTCTTTGATTACTCAAGCAAATCTATTTTCAGAAGATGATCATTCATCACATGTCATGTGAGTTACTGACTGTAAACACCAGTCCCAGTGTGATTCCTAAAGCTAGGGACAATGATCTATTTGGAAAATAAGCACTGAGTCCATTTCCCCAATGTAGCAACTTCATGTAATGCTTCCTTAGACATAGTTTATTTATATCCAAAACAGTGGTGTTAAAGTCACATCTTAAAATATCCTGCCCTTAACAAGCTTGTGAAAAGATGATAAAACTAATAGGAGAATCAAGAGCAAAGCTAGTTTGGTAGTAAGTTCATAGGCAATATACGCAGAGGGAGTTCAGAGCTGATGAAGATTAGGGAGGACAAGTATGGCAGAGAAGCTAAAGAAATGTGGGTTCCCAAGTGGCCCCAATGTACTATTTTTGGTTTTCATTTCTTTCCTTTTCTGTCAAGAGACATAATGGAGTTGTTTAATCTCATTTTATTAGATACTTAGTATCTTATTTTTCACTAATTTTCAGTTAATCTGTTAAGGCTGTGTGATTTTACTTATAATTTTAATTCAACGATTTTGCATGGTGTTTTATGGAGTAGATTTTGGAGCCTCAGAGATTAAAATTTGAGTTCAAATTCCGATACTTACTAGTTTTCTGGTCTTGTGGAAGTTCTTTATCTTTTCTCTCTCTATTCCTTAATAATAGTCCCAACCAGGTAGGGCTGTTATGAAGCTATAATAAGATGAAGCAAAAAGAGCACAGAGCAGGGTCCCACCTTAGGAAACTGCTGGATAATGGCATCCGCTGTGATAATTGTCACATTGATGATAGAAGTGATGGTGATATTCATATAAACTCATGGAAGGGGATGTCTACGAAGCAGCTTCTACTTAGGTTTCATCACTTTGTCACCGTTAACTTTACAAGAATGTCCGCTCACCAAAAGAAATCACATTTTCCTTGACTTTTTAATAATCATTGCCTTAGAAAGAGCAAAGATGGATTCAGGTACTTAGGAAGGTTGTATTCTATTACCTTTGAAGGCACCAACCATGTAACTCAGATTGCTGCGTGTAGATAAGGCAACATCCAATATGAGAAACTGGCGCAAGCACAAGAGAGATGTTGGAGCATCTGCAATTAGTTGTCACTGTTTATTGGGGCTTTGAAACCAATCTAAAAGAATTTATGCTTTAAATGAATGGTGGCTGTCAATGAGCCTGAGAGGGAATGCTTGCTAGGACCCCCTGGCTCTCACAGCAACTCATGTTTATAATAACAAAAGAGAAGTCTCTCAAGCAGAAGGCCAATCTGATCCAGTCACTTAATGCAGAATTATGTTATCAAATTTGCACACAACTGAATGACCATGGCTTTAGAGGTGTGTGCCGTAACCTAGCTGCAGATGTTAGACATTTAACAAGTTTGTTTTATTCTTAATTGCTGGCATTTGCTTAAGTGTTTTCTGAATTCTAATTTATGCTTTTATGCTCTAGTTTGTTTACATAGCCTATAGTTCCCAATTGCCTTTATTTGCTTAAATGTTTCTTTAATTTTATTTACTTTTTTATATATTTTGCTTTGCTTACATAATTCATTGTTTGCAGTGGGCTACAAATAACCATAAATCCCCATTGCTAATTAGCTTCATCCTCATGACTGATTAGTCAAGATTATGAACCTAGAAGGAGGGCAGGAAGGAAGCCTACTCATGAGTCACAGGATCATTGAATTGTAGAGCTCAAAGGAATATTAGAGTTTAAAGCATCTTTCAGATAGAATTCTGTGGTTTTACATTTCAGCAATGGAAAATTATGAAAGCATGTCTACTTGCTCTTGTCCCTTTATGCAGAAATGGACTTGGTGACAAGCTTTGAAAAACAAGAATAAAAAGAAAACCCAATAAATGATGACTATAAGTAACTCATCATGAGGGCTTGAAGAAAGATCAGAAATTTGACACCTAAATGGGCTGTAGAAGAGCAGGGAATATTAATGAACACGAAGGAGGTTCTTCCTCGGAGATAAGCAAGCAGAGTGGATTGTTTGGAACTCCCTCCTTAGCAGCTGTGCAGTTGGTAAGGATTTTAGCTTGCCTAACTGTAAGCTTGGCTATTAGCTTTGCAGTGGGGAGTATTTAAAAGTACACACAACATACGAAGGAAAGAACCTGGAACTGAGTAGCCTGCTTCATTCCAAGAATCCATCTGGCATTTAAAGAACTGCTTGTCCTACATTAAACCCTGCAGAGCAAGAGCTATTTTTCATCTCCTAACACCCTTATTTTGGATTTCAGGTGAGACAGCCTATGGAGTTTAGGGAAGGAACAAGGAGTCTTCTTAGAGACAACTAACCAAAGGACTAATCTAGGACAAGTGAACCTGAACTATAGAAATCATATTGAAGCCTCTGGTAGGAAAATCAGTTTAAGAGCAAGCTCATGTCTTCACCGGAGGTGGAAGTCGATATTCCAAAACAATTTGAGTCTTTAGTCATTTGGAAATAGTATAATGGCAAAAGGATGTAACAAATGTGCAAAGCTGTGGCCAGAGTCATCCATACAAAAAGACTCACAGTGATGGTGTAAGCTACAAATGAAATCGTCTATTCCTAAACAAACCTATCTTTGAACTAAAGATCTCATTTATGCAGTCTATATATTTTGGAGGGTCCTAAAAGCAAAAAGGCTGCCACAGAACAGTCCCTAGATTACCTGTGGTTTCAGCATATGTAAAAGAAGTGTGCTAGCCTAGAAATAAACTACTCCTGGCTTTCAGGTACCTACTTTTGTTCTTCCCGGCCCAGTTCCCTAAAGACACATTTTCTTATCTTCCTCTTCCAAAAAAAGTGTATAACATTCAGATGCGCTCAGCTCAGCATTCAAGCAATGAGACAACAGGGTTCCACTTTTAACTGGTCACCCTTAGAGGGACAGCGGGAGGCCCCAGCGCCCTCGCCAACTCCTAGAGGCGCCCACTTGGTTACTATGGCGACCGAGGGAGGGGCGGGACTGCCAGCCACTTGGTCTCATCCTCTATCCAGGGCCTTTCGAACGCTCCAATTGGGATAGGCCTTTCTTCTGTCTGTCCCGCCCCATTCTGCTCCGAGAACGATGCGATTGGCCCGGGGCGCACAGTTTGGTGCCCAAAGGGTACCACCTCTTGACGGGAAGAGCGGGAAAATGTACCAGGCGCAGTCAGAAGCTTGAGGCTCAGTCTCTAAGGGAGAGCACACAGTAGACTTCGGAAAGGGTTGCTTCTGATCCCATACGTGACACCTGCACCTATAAAAGCTAACAGTTGAGAGCAGGAGCTGGGGTGTTGACGCAATGACTAACTGGGGCGGCCCATCACTAGAGGCCGGGACGCGACCCATAGTGAGGATGCACAGCGCGTGCTTCGGCTTCGGGATCGGCGGCCAGGGGGGCGGGCCGAGCTTCTGAGGCGGTGCCCGCAGTGGCGGCGGGAGGCGCAGGGCCCAATGAGCGCTCGCACCGCCCCCGGGGGCGGGGCCATCGGAGCGCTCTCCCCCCCCCCGCCTTCCCACTCGCCCCCGCCCCTCCCCTCGGGCGCCGGGGCCGCAGTGAGTGAGTGGCACTGGCAGCCTGTCAATCCCTCAGCCGAGCGGCCTTCGAGCCCGGTCCGCGGCGGCTGCTGGCTGGGTGCGCGGCTCCGGCAGTGGCGGCGGCGACTTCTCCCGCCCCGTCCATCTGCTGTTCGCCGGGCGCGCGGCCCGCCGGGGCCCTCCTTCGGGCTCTGCGCCCCTGCCGCGCCGGCCCGCTCGCTCCCAAACTTTCCTCTTTCGCTCCCCTCGCAGCCCGCGGCCCGCCCGCGGGCCTTCTGCTCCGCCGCCGCC